ATATATATATATATATATATATATATATATATATACAGTATATATAACATGCTTTTTAACTTATATTAATACTTTGAAATAAATATTCATTCAAATTCATCCTGTTGGCACTGTTATATTCTATCATGTTGTTGTTTACTATCTCTCTTTAGGACCTTGTAAATATTATAATTACTTTTTCACTTTTTGGTACTTTATTTTTGTACCCTTGTTGCATGCTTTATTATTTCTTGCTTTTTTGTACTTTGATTTTTTAGCAAGTCAAATCGATTCTTCTCTCATAAGCATTTCATTGTACTATTAATCTTGTGTTAACCTTGCATATGACAAATAAACACAACTTGAACTTGAACTTCAGACTGCTTCTCTGCTAGGTTACCTGTGGCCACTTGCCCTGTTTGGCAGCTTTCAGCCTGCTAACCAACAGCCTGACATCAACTGTATCTGTATATTTTAGTTAAATTTAGAACTCTTCAGGAGTTAAAATGTAATAAAACCTTCCTTCAAGAAACACCCACATTTTTATGACTCTTAACAGTCTTGTTCCTCAGGAAACCTAAATACCAGGAGAGCTAAATCCTTCTCCAATCAATACACAGTGGCTCAGGCTGAGACCCTGTGTGCAAAGATTAATCTGAACTTCAGAGACCCAAAGCTCAACAGACGCCTGGCTGCGATTCTCTGACAGAACCAGCTCCATGATGTCAAACTCTCAGGCATGCACTGAATTCTAAATGTCAATAACCTGAACTCTGCTTTGGCCTGGAGAAAATCAGCTTCGGAGAAGAAAAGGAGAGATGTAAGGGAGGAGGGGGGAGAGGAAAAATGCATTGTGGATAGGCCAAATTCTTCTTGTTTAGGAGAAATTTAGAAAAAAGTCAGAATGCACATGTTCATTCCAAGGTTCAGTGTTGGATTAGCAAAGAGTCTTTGTCCTTGAGTAAACTAAGTACCCAAAACTGGAGCCCAGACTTTAACTTCAGAAAGGATGAAGGGTCAATTAATATCTTGCTTTCATGTGTTAGGGACAAAATACACATTCCTAATTGCTATGTTACCAAAGAAGAAGTAAAAAAGGTAAAATTACTTAAAATGTCCTTAATGCTAATCCTAATGTGGTTTCTCTAAAGAGTACACACAGATTGTGAAATACTGGCTCCAGTGATTGTGGTATGAGACAGTGGAAAAGGCAGGGCTTTCTAAAAATAAAAATAAAATAAAAAACCAAGATAATACTCATTTTACAACTAGTTTGATAGTGAGCAGTCTGGGTGGACAACCGGTTTTAATGCCAGAAGGACTACAGAATCGTAACAAGACAGGCTTTTTGCCTCAAGCTCATGGTTTATAGTGTAAACACTTTCAGAGCAGAAACAAAAGGAAGGAACAAGAACAAATATACAGTGCAGACAGACAGTAATGAGTAAATGCATTCAGAATGAGGAAATGGTTCACGTGGTTCTTGCTCACCTGATGACAACATCATATTTATTGATGAGGCTTCCCAAAGAGCTGTTTTTAACCACAAAGCCATTTCCGACGACCACACAGGTTCGGCACGCAAGGCTGTAAGAGAAACATCACAAAACACATCCTAGTAGAACATTTATGCTGTTTCACTTACTGTATATTAAAATCAGAAGAAAAAAAAAACTATCAAGTCCATAATGAACGAGCTGCCAATGTAGCAACATACAATTATTATTTTATTTTTTGTGTGTGTGGTGGTTGTTGTTGTTAAAAGGAATTAGTTAAAGGGCAAAAAGTTTGTTGGGTTGATCATACACGCACATGTATACATATATCTACCATTGAACTTGACCTTCAACTTAT